TCTCTCTCTCTCTCTCTCTCTCTCTCTCTCTCTCTCTCTCTCTCTCTCTCTCTCTCACACACACACACACACACACACACACACACACACACGGGGGTAACCTTGGGTCAGACACCAAGCAAGAGCAAACATAGACACGTCCGTGAAAACAAGACTTCGGTGAACTTCAGCACCTTTACGGGAGCAAAAAACTTTGGAAAATATTATAAAGTACCGATACAAGTTAAGCTTCGCGTGGCATGTTGGCCCAATAGCTGGATGTTTTGAAGCTTGAGCAAACAGCTTCGTCTTCCAAAGATGCCAGGACAAACATTATCGTGATTTTGTACCAAACAAGGCAAAAGCCAAACACCATGCCCATCACAGTTTTTGAAAACTACTACGCACAAACGGAAGACGGCTCAGTGGTGGTCTGCAAGGCCGCGGCAGAGCCCTTTTTTTCCAAGTTTGGAGAAATGCCAAAAAACACCCTCCCTCATGAATGGTCATCCGAGATTTGACAAGACTGCTCCACCCTTCTTACATCCCGTGAAGTCCTAGTGCGAGCACGCTATATCTCCCATTAGACATCCACAAGAGGGGTGGCTGGAGGGCTGTTCACCTTTCCAAAAATAGTATGTTTTCTGTCCAGCCAGTCACACTTATCCAGAGTGATGAAGAACTGGCTGTTGTTGGAGTTGGGTTTTCCTGCATTAGCACAGGCCAGGATTCCCCGATGATTGAACCTCAGCCGCGAATGGACCTCATCTGCAAAAGGATCTCCATAGATCGATTCTCCACCTGGATCATTACCAACAAATGAACAACCCAATCCCCCCCCACCTCGTCAATCAATCAACCCACCAATCAATCATCCAGTCAACCAATCAATCTACCAATCAATCAAGCAACCAACCAACCAACCAATCAATGAATTTACCAATCAAGCAAGCAAGCAATCGACCAATCCAGAAATCAAGCCAGCAACCAACCAAGCAACCATAAATTTACCAATCAAAAGCCCATCATCAAAACAGTCGTTGATCGACTGAATGCCTGTCTTTATTCATGCACAAAAATGGGGAAACGAAAACAAAGCTGGGCTTTTGCCGTCTCGAGACTCAGAGCAAGGTCAGAGCAAGTTACCAAACCTACGGTTTCTTTGGCAGTGAATTTACATTTACACTGGTCATTAGAGAACCCATAACTTTACTTACTTATGCAAGGCAAGGTCAGTTTGAATACTCAAATCAAAATTCAGTTTAATACTCAAATCAAAATTCGGTTTGAATACTCAAATCAAAATTCGGTTTGAATACTCAAATCAAAATTCGGTTTGAATACTCAAATCAAAATTCGGTTTGAATACTCAAATCAAAATTCAGTTTGATCGTACACGAGGCAATTGATCAAACTCGTTCCACAGAACACTGCAGCCGCAGGCAAAAGCTTCCAGAAGCACGAGTAGAAGAATGAGAAAGAATGTAAGATGGACGACTTATTATCACTAACAACTCCCCCACACCGACAGACTCCTCGACACAGAGAGAGAGAGAGAGGCAACAATGGGTAAAAGGACATGAGAAGAGGAAAAGAAAAGAAACAGAGAAAGAGCAAAACACACAGAGAGAAAGGTTTGTAACGAGTAATACCAGCAAATACAGAGAAAACAAATAGTGAAAAGAAGATCGAAAGAGGAAATAGGGAGCGAGGGAGAGAGGGAGGGGGAGGGAGAGAGAGAGGGGGAGAAAGGGAGAGAGAGCGAGAAAGAAATGGAGAAACACAGAGGAAAAGAGACAAGAGAGGTTCTGAATAGATAGACGGAGGACAGATGAATAAAGGGTGAAAAGGAGGGAAGAGGGGAGAGGAGGGGGGGGGGGGGGGGG